CACACACACACACACACACACACACACACACACACACACACACACACTTCCTCCGCCCCCCCAGTGATCAGCTGTCGCGGGATTTCACGGATAGGACCCAAACGCAAGACCACAGAAGACAGAGTCCGATGTAACGGATTTTATTTAGCCAGAATAAAGACAGGAAGGTGTGTGAAGGTGTGGAGACCGTGGTCCGACACCGGAGGGCAAGCGGATGGACGGTGTGAGTCCCGTGGCTCGACACCGGAGGGCTGGTAGCTCGACAGTGTGATGTCCCGTGGCTCGACACCGGAGAGTACGCAGATCGACCAGTACTCTACACCCGTAGCAGAGAGGAGAGAAATTAGTTCAGAAAGGAACAACGGGGTTCAACTTACGGAACGGCAGTGGAGGCTACCGAGGCAGAAGACAATACGGACTGACAACCCAGGCCTGCAAGACCAGGGTTGATATGCTGCTGGGTAACGAGCCAGATTGTCCGCAGCTGTGCATCCATCAGGGCGGTGGCAATGGGAGGTGTCTGGAGGCAGGCCCGAGAAAACAACACCAAGCACATGGCACAACAAAACAAACAGGGGAAAGACAGACACATGAGGAGAGGAGATTGGGGGGGAAACAGAGGTTAACACACAATGGGTCAGACAGGGATCCTGACATCAGCAGTGTCCTGCTGATCACTGGAGGAATAAAATAACATAAATGACACATTAAATATGAGCAGAATGGATTAAAAATGGATCACAGCTGAGATAAGTGGTGATATTTTAAGATCACAGCCAAAACCATCAGTCACAACCGATGCTTCCGCTTCGTTCTCCTGTGTTTTCGCGTTAAGAATGAGCAGCTTTCGTCTGCTCCTTGTAGTCTTAATGAAAATGTAACCTAAGAACACGGGCCCTTAGGAGCGCCGTGAGGGGAGACAATTAAATATTCAAATAACGCGACCCACAGGCCTCAAGTCTTTGTCCTGTCAAGTTGTTTTAGCTTATTGTTTGTGCCAGTGTGTGCAGTGTGGGGTTGCTGGTAGGTTACTAAATCCATGCCTTTCGAGTATAACGTAGGCCTGGTGATCTTATTGCAATAAGATGAAAGACAAAACCCCACATGCCGAAACCTAGAAAGTCTAGAAAGCTGCAAGATGCGAACTCAGCCGGTGGTCAGAGGGAGACTGAAATCAAAAGTGGACCGGGATTGAAGAAAACAAGATGTCAGTGCTGATCTTTGGTTTCAGAGCCGAACCAGAGGGTAGCAGCGGGGATGAGGGATGGAGAGATGGATGCATAGGAGGAAGCCAGAGAGGTCGAAAAGCTGAAGAGACAGGCTTGATGTGTGTGTTCAGTTTCTGTGTGAGTCATAGCTATAATGGTTGGCCAAGCTGAGCATCCAGTCTTTAGGCTTTCACTCTGTATAAGGTCTTTTTAAACCTCCATTGCTTTCGGCTTTGTGAGAGCAGAAGAAGAAGAAGAGAAGAGTTGTTGATTGTGCTGTTGTAGTAATGGTCAGAGGTGATCTCAATGTCTGTCTGGCCTCTTAGGAGGCTCTTTGGACGCCTGACAGCTGATCCCTCAATGTCATTATGTCTCTCTCAAGGATTTAAAGTGGCATATGTAAGGGAGAGAGAGCGAGAGAGGGCTGTAGAAACAGAGAATGAAAGCAAGTAACATGATACTATACCAGTGTGATACACACAATGCCTACTCTGTGCCTCACAATAGACCCCGATATCGCCACTTCCCTATTGAGTCCCGGGCGCACATAACAGATTTGCTTCAAAGCACCACTTTCACCTAAAACCCTCTCCCATCCGCTGTTGTCAGGCGTGCAGAGGTGTGCAATCGAGCCGAGTCCCGGTGTAGATTTCTCCCGCCCTTGTGTCTGCCAACCCTGATGCTGTTTCACAGATCAGAGCGGGGAGAGATTCAAGTTCAAGTCCAGATACGTCTAACCCCCTTTACCTCCTTTTTCCCTCATTTATTTTGATCCCAAACTCTGTCTGGAAAGGATAGGGGAGACATTGATTCAAACACAACCCAGACTCTTTCCCAAGGACACCCTTGTTTCCAACACCCACCACCAACCAAGCACCAATGTCTCAATGGTCAGGATGGGAAGGACAATGCAGTCTTTTGGGCACTCAGAATATATTCCAGTGTCTACTTTTGAGTCAGTGAGGCCTGGGTCTGTGAGGACTTCGGCCCTAACTTTGTGGTCCGAACTTGAGTTCCTGCAGCAGGCTTTGAGGCGGAGGTGGACCCTGTCCCTGATGCAGGGCCCGGGGCTGCAGGGGGCAGTTGGCTGTGTTGCCCTTGAAGATGCCGAGGCAGGGCGGTGCGTATGGGCTGTTGGAGGGGATGTGACTGCTGTGCCGGGCGAAGCTGGTAGCCTCGGCGGTAGTGCAGTGATTGGGTACGTAGGAGCACCTGTGTGTACTGGACTTCAGGCATGATGAGCTTGAGGCAGAGCTCCTGGGCCTGGCTGGAGAAGCCACGGCTGAGATTCACCGGGAGGTCGTAGCCCACAATGTCAACTTTTCCACTGGGCTGCCAGGGGCGGAGATCCTTATTTTTGATCTGCGCGGCTGATCGTAGAAGAGGCATCCGCCCACCGAAGCAGCTTTTCACCAGCCTCTCCTGGGCTTGTCGAAGGAGTTTCACCTCCCTTGCCACGCAAGCTGGACCCAGAGCGGACAGCTGGCGCCACAAGGAGGCATTGAAGTGGTCGTAGAGACGCGCATCTAAAGAATTCCAGGCACGGATCTTTGCGGGAAGGCCCGGTGATAGGCTCCTCTTTGAGCTCGGCGTCCGCATGTTAAGTTTAACATACAGGATGTCATCCAGATCCCAAGAGAGGAGATGGCGAAGAAGAACCAGCGACTCATCAAAGTACTCGGCAATCATCACCAGGGAGAAAACTCTGTCCACCTCAGCCAGAAAGCCTCGTGCATATGCCACATCTGTAACTGGGCGGTCCTTGTCTCCGCCCAAATCGAAGGTCAAGGTGTTGCGTGCGTACATGGAGTCCTTCTCGTCGGGTCGGTAGTAGCGCCATGGCTCCTCTAAGAAAACCTCCAAGGAGCCATTGGGGACCCTCTTGAAGCTCTGGCAGTACTGGTTGTAGTAACTGAACAAGGATTCAAACATGGAGCCCGGCTCTCTCAGGATTGTGATATAAATCGTGTCGTTGGGCATCAGGCGCTGCGTCTCTGCCTTGTTAAAGCGCATGTGGCTGGTGACAATGTTCGACGGCAGCGTGTGCGGGTGGACGAAGTGAGTAGTGAAGGAGCGTGGGTAGCAGAACTGGTGACCGCAGGCCTGCACGGGCAACGCCACCGTGAGGTTGTTGCGCTCTGCGAAGCGGAAAAGCAGGTTCTGCATGGTGGTGCTGGCCGTTTTGTGGGTCTTGAGGAAGGCCACATTGGTGTGCTTAGGTTTCAGGCCCGGGGCAGGGTGGGAACGGAGGGCCGGACAACCGAGGTGGAAGGCCTCCATGGTCCTGGAGAAAAAGAAAAAAGAAAATGCATTCATTTATTTGAAACTCCATTAGCTCCATAAAAAAAGGAGCAGCTACTCCAAATAATTTGGTGACATTAGAGACATAATTGCACAGGCTCTAGACAGATAATGGAAGAGACTGAGGTGTAGGACAGGACAGAGGTACAACGGGGAAGTAGACATCAGTGTACATGTGGGGAATTTAAATGAGGAGACAGAGAAAAGAGGGCAGACGTAGGATAAAGCCACCAGAGGAAGGAGGATCAGACAGTTCAGAATAATTACAAGGTGTTTGTACTGCATATATGGCTGGGTGATAAATCAATATTAGAATTTATTGACTTTCAGTGGACTCACTGTGCGATGATATGAACTTAATTTTTCATCCTTTTCAAAAACTTTGACTTTTTGATCTGTGACTTACATTTCTTTCCTTCCCTTACTGTTGCAGTGTATGTATTGTTATTGTGAAATATATTTTTAACATCATGATGATTTCATTTCCATACTACTACTAAGCATTTTTTGCACGTGCATTGTGATGTTAAAAAATGTAAAACAAGTCATTCTAGGGCCTAACATAAAACTTAATTCTTTGAATCTTATAGTTTCCAATTTGCATCCGGAGTATTGTTTTTAATACTCTGCAGTATTACAGCATATTCACTGCAGACCGAACTAGAGGGTCAGATATTTAAAAGGTGTGGAAACAAAGTGTGAAAAGAAAAGAAGGGAGACGAAGGGGAGAGCAATAACGGAGACATTAAAGACGGGAATGTGGAAACGGTTTTATGAGCATAACGTTAAGTTGAAAAGGGTAGGAGAACAGAATACGGGGCTGTCAAAGATCTACGATCCCTCTGCTTTCATAATTGGTCCCTCGACTGCTTTGGCAGAGCATCTGCATTCAACATCTTCATATCTATAACGAGCCAGTCCCGCTATTAATTTGACTTGAAAAGAAGAAAAAAAAGACGGACGTCTTCATAGTAATTAGCACCATGTGAACTCATAAAGATATAGAGGGTGGGTAATGTATGGGTTTGCATAAGTGTGGGCGTATGTCAATCACTCACCAGCTCAAGTGGCCCCCATGGTGCAGCAGGAGACTGACAGTGCTGATGGTGACTAAGACCAGAAATATCTTCTTCTGCGACATCTCGCTCCGCTTCACTGGGCCTGCGGGAGGTAGAGAAGGAGAGCGAGAGTGAAACAGAGAGATACACAAGTAAAAGGTAGAGCAGGAGAGCGCGAGAACGAGGGCAGGTGGAGGTGTAATGAGGAAGCGAAAATGAGGATGAGGTGGAACGAGGAAAGTGGTCGACAGAGGAATTGGGGAAAACGAGAGCGGGGGGGGGGTTGAAAGGAAGCAGAAACGAGGAAGGAAGAAAAATGATAAAGGGAGAGCGAAACAGGAGGAAGAGACGAACGCGGTGAGAAGGATTCACTTAGCAAATAATGGTCGGGGATCCATTAGCGGCAGAGGCTAGCGAGGCTTGGCTTTTGTCCCTCTGTAATAATACGGTGAATGATACCTTCATTACCTTCCACAGCTGTAAGAGCCACACTCACTGTTGGCTCAAACAGGACAGATGGCCTCGTGCATTAGGCCCTGTCAGTAACGAGGTACATGTGTATGTAAAAACCAACAGCACTTCAACAGTGAGAGTGCTAGGTGGCAGAAACTCCCCGTGTCACTCGACCCGCCAAATAAAAACCCCGCCATGACAGCAATGGAACCTGGGAAGGATTCCAAGCCTCTCTCGACGGCATCTCACTTGCATGACAATGGCCGACGTCTCTCTCCTTGATTACACTGTCCCGTTGGCGTCCACACACACACACACACATGCCAGCGGTCAGGAAAAGGACAGCTCACATTACGCAAAGCAGCGGCTTTTCACACCACGTATACTCCATTCGGCGGATGCTTTCATCCGAAGCGCGGCGGAGGAGCGTGAGTGCATCGATTTTAAGCATGGGTGGCCCCGTGGCGGTGTTAGTGCCACCCACTCAAGTAAATGGGATCATTAAGGGGTTTTGTTGCACATTTTTGGTAAAGGATTAAAATGAGCATTAAATCTGCCCAAACATACTGGTGTTTTGATTGAGATTCATGCAGCCTCCGTTCAAATCGAAGAGAGCTGTAGCATTTATTTCCCTTAGGGCAGCATAATTATTGTCATATTATTATATACCATTTGGTCTATTAAACCTCCCAGAGTCTAAGATGACGTTTTCAAACTGCTTGTTTTCTTCGACCAATTTCCCTATGCTGTGCTCAAACTTTATGTGACGATAAAAATACCATTTTCATTTTATAAAACAGAGATAAAACAACAACTCCTCACATTTGAAGAAACTGGAACATTCAAATGTTTAGCATTCTTTCTGTTGTACAGTGACTTGAATTATTAATCAATTATCTAAATAGATGGCTGAAACCTAATTTCAGCACAATTTTGCATTTATATTCTAAACTAACTGTCAGAAAACAAAGAGTCTACCCTGCTGTGCAGAACACAAAGCTCATAAATAGGCATGAGATGGGACATTTCATGTGCAGAATAAACAACTGGTGAAGAAAAGTGATCCCCAGGTTCTGAATAAAAATCCAAATATGTTTCCCGAATATTAATTAAGCATTCAGCGAAAATTTGACAGCTGACCTGATGAGTTTGGAGAAGATTAAGAGAGAAGAACGCAAGAACTGACATTCCCTTTTTTTTTCAATTCCAAAAACAGCTGCGATTGTGCCGCTTCGGCGGTTGGACTCGGCACAAACACACATGTGCCGTCACAGACAAATGCACAAAAACACTAAACCCACGCTGTTATAAAACAGGCACTAATGCTCTCACTGTAATTGATTGCACAGATTGTTGTAGACACAGTTTTTTTTGTTTTTTTTTAAAGTTAATCCTTTGTCCATGTCCTCTGCCCTACTCACGGCCCAATAATCTGACCACAACTGCTGCTTAAATTTATACGTTTTTCCTGTTTTCAGGGAAAGTCCGTTGAGTTGATATCGTCCACATTGATGAAAGACTGAGGGATGCAAAGACGAAGGAAGATGCAGAATTTGCCTTCTATTTTTAGTAGAATCCATTCAATTGTTTTCATTTTATCCTCACATTTGAGAAGCTTTGTTTGGCATTTTTGCTTGTTAAATCACTTAAATAATTAGTCAATCATCAGGGAAATAGCAATTGATGAATCTTTTAAGTATTCTTATGTCATTCATTTGCAAACTGGAATCACCAGTGACGAGACATCAGCGCGAGAAACAGGAGATTCAGACTTATCCAAGAGGCAATGCGACCAATTGTCCATCACATTTCAAATTGATTTAATTTCAGTGAATAGTTCACCCAGCAAGCCCTTGAAAAGTACAGTTTGCCTCTAAGTGCAGGGCTTAGTTCTTCTTCCAACGTTTCCTTTCAAATGCAGCAAAATTGTTTCCCGCTACAAGTACACACGAGCTTTTAGAGACTAGATTCAGCACAAAACAACTCACAGCACTTTCAATGTTGGAAGAAGGTTCCTTCGTACTCTTTAATAAATAAAAGGTTCTTTCTTAAAAATGTGTTTCCTCTCCTCTTTACATTACTCCGGTTTTGTCTGGACACAGCCTGAGTAGTGGGAGATATTTGTGTTTTCCTCCCTTCAGTAGAAGCCATTATATCTCGTACAGCATGAAAAACAACCTCCAGTGAGTTGAAAAGTGGCCGAGCTGGATAATCCATCGCATTAAACATGAAGTTTTAATGCGGGTCTGTGGGGGCTCCCTGCTTTATTTATTTTTTCACCGCCCCCAAGTCGAGTGTTTTCATATCTGTGCCCTCGTCACGTCATCCTCTCCTTATTGTTCATCACCTGACACGGACCTCGGATACGTTATTGCCAGATCCCTTTGTATTAAGCGAGGGATGCAGCAGTTCGGATTTTCTAAACAGCAAAGAAAGCCCTAAAGGTGGGTTCAGACTGGAGAGAGTATGAGAGGCGGCGTGATCGTGTACAAACAAAAGGGAAATTCACTCTAGCTGGGCCCAAATCTGTGTGAGAATTGGGCCCATACAGAAGATGTAGGACTCTAATTGAAGAAACCGATGGTTTTAAACACGGGAAAATAGCTGAAACTACTGCAGAGTAATTTGTTCTGAGATTAGTGATGACTGTAAGCTTTTCCACGGAAGACAAAAGCCAGATGTCATCGGATGTTAGTGGGTTTTTGTCCAGTTGGAAAGGGAAGAGTCTGCAATCAAGCTAGCAGCTCGATAGCGAGGCTGACGTGGAGCAGTTATAAGGTTTACCATCTTAGTTTAGCATGTTAGCATGCTAACGTTTGCTAATTAACACAACACACAAAGTGTCTCAAAACAACAGCACTTTGAGGCTATAGACTACTTTTCCTCATCAATGAAGGACCATTACCAACATTGTGAATGCTCTTATTTGTATTTTATTATTACTGCTGCAACTAAATATTCCACGGATATGATGGCTAATTCTATTTGAAAAAAAAGACCCACATTGTAATAAAACGTCCGTATTCTCATTAAAAACACTTGCATGAAGCGGAACAGGATGAAATTTTTACTACAGTCCTAAGAAATGTCACCTTCTCCGGGTGGCTCAATTACATTTAGTCACACCGGCATTCTCGGCTGGAGGTTCGGTCCCCATCGGCATCGGAAAATGTCACCGTGATACCTGCTCGGAACGAGGCATGAATGAAACGAAGCACTGATTCGGAGAGAGTAGTGGGATGCAGTAAAATGAAGCCATGCAGGGGGCTGTTTCTTGTGGTAACAGGAGCTGGTTGGTAGCCCAGAGTGTGTGAGGGGACGGAGGTAGATCATGTGTCACAGAGAGTTAATAAGAAAGGGATTTAAGTGGCTTTCAGCAGACTCTCTTCATCCACCCTCATCTGCTGCCATCGTCTCCTCCTTCCCCACCAACACTATGGCCTCTTTAATTAAAAGTGCTGATTAGGTTTCTCTTACGATACGATATGAGAGCGCAGCAAGAAGACACCTGACCCCCCCCCCCCCCCCCGTTAGCGGACAACGATTTAGACAAAGGAGATGGACAGGAGGAAAGATAGCTCATCTTATTTGTGTATTGATTTAATGATTAAATGAGGGGATGATCCTCAAGGAGGTGTGTGTGTTGTGAAGGATTTCGACACATGACGTGACGGTAAAGAAGCGAGATCTAATCCTTTAACGCGCCTCTCAAGAGTGGATTATCCATTTTACAAGCGCATTAACTGGTTTATTGTTGAATGTTTTACACTACGGGGTAAAAGGTTATAGGAGGCAAAATGTCGTCGCTCCTATATGGTTACCGACATAGTGTAGGATGATGATTAAAACCGAGCCAGAGCTCATCTGCATCGAAGAGTTTAAGACCAAAAAACACTGGATTTTTTAGGCTGATATCAATATTTGAGAATACGAAAGATCTGATAATGAAGCCGATATTTGTTTCGTTAATTCCAGAGCACTGGATCTATATTTGTGTGACTGTGTGTGGCTTTGCCTGCTTGCAAACACAACGTGAATTCAGATGGAGGATGTGTGAAGGAATTGTTCTCACACCTCCCTTAAATTCTCCCCGCAGGTGATTCAGACTTTATTTCCTGTCTGCACTTATTTTCCTTCTGTCTCTATCTCTCCGTCAGTTTGCCTCCATCTCTCCCAGAGGTCTTGTGGTTTTTTTTTTTACTTCTTTTCTTACGTCTCTGCTGCTGCCTCCGTGTGACAACGTGGCATCTCCAAAATGTCTGGTGTTATGAATCAATGGGAGAAAAATGGAAGAAGTTTTGAAAGAGTTTAGTCTCCTGCTAAGTTTGAACTCCGGGTGAGTGTCACAATGGCTCCGCAGCAATACAGCAGCGAGACAAACAAATAGAGAAGTACAATTCAAAGACGTGTAATACACAAAACAATGGAGAGAAACCCGGCATGCGCTCCATGATGCAGGAACAAAAATAACAACTCCAGTCCTTGCACAAACACATGCTCACCACACACACACCTACTCCCCCTAGACACACACACACACACACACACACACAGATAGAGGAACCTAATGAGCGTATGAAGGTAGCTTCATGCTCAGTCCTCCGGGGCCACAGCAGCTGCTTCGCTCGCTGGTCCTGTCATCTGCAACTG